AAACATTGATTTTTGCGCTCATTGAGTTCGATCGCCGAATACATTGTTTACACAACAATATCAAAACAATTTTTTGTTTTGACTGTGACGGTTAACCGGAGTGACGGTTAATCGGGAGACGGATAATCGAAGTTCTACTGTATTGCCAATTATCGCTGGTTTTGTGAATATTTGCAGATAATTGAATCAATTAAAATATATTTCGATTACAATGACTGACATTTAAATGAAGCCCCTAGATTTCATCCATTCGAAAATATACGGTGCCATTGAATGACTGAGTTGAAGGAAAAATGTCATGTGGAAGGCAATAAGCGAACAAAATTTGTCGGTTCCTCCTATTCAGTTGATGGCATTCTTTTTCTTCTTGCTGCTTTTGTTTCAAAAATTCATATGCATAGCGCTGTGAATGGCGACCAGTTTTCGAAGTATCCTCTGGTGTTCGATTAAACAAAGGAAATAACAACATATTTAGTGAATGAAAAACATCTACACACACAGAGTACCGGCAAAAGTCAGCACAACCAAACTGACAGAATGGCAGAAAAAGAAATGTTGTTGGCTTAAAAGTGTTGGTAGTGACAGTGAATGTTATCGGCACAAAAAAAACACCGAATATTTGCGGGTTATTCAAAGTGGCTGCCAAGTCAGGTAACGTGCTTGTTCGTTCGCGTGCGTCCCAGAGGTCTCACATGTGTATACCTACTACCTAATTCAATCTGCGTATTACATTTGTGTGAGAGACGGAAATATTAAGAGAATGATGAAAACTGAAAACCAGCTCTATCAATCCTGTTGATTGATTTACCAACAAATCTATGAGCATATATGTCAGCAATTGTTGGTTGATGAAATCCGTTGATGGAAAAGGCACAAAAGATGAAATTATTCAATTGAAGATTTAGATTTTCTGTTATTTTCAACCGCATGCGTGTGTGTGTGTGCACGCACATTTTGTTCGGTTTTGCATACAATAGAAGCAGCTTATGTCAATACGCACGGAAAATGCTCTTGAAATTTTACTCTGTTCAACAAATATACCTTCACAAATCCTAGCAACATATCTCACTTTAAAAAAAAAATCGAACACAAAAAAAATGTTTTGGCAACACAGAACGCGCAAAAAAAGCTGGTCTCTTCACAATTTAAAAAATGAACACAATCAACATGATTCACTCAAAAAGATCTTTTTCCAGCCGACAAAGCACTCGACATTCAACGCAAAGAAGAAGAAGAAGTAGAAAAACTGATAGAAATGACGATGCTTAAGTACACAGCTTAACTAGATAAAACCTCGAAGAGAAATCAAACACACAGAGCAAGGTAAGATAGAGAGTGAGAAAGAGAAGGAAGAGGAAAGAACATTCAATAACAAATTTTACGGACACTTTTTATATTCACGCGCAAGATTCCCACTTTGTGAAGCACACAAAACAAGAAAAAGAGAGAGAGAGAGAGAGGAAGAATCATGTGAAGCTTTACAAATTTCAGTTCGCATTTACACTTTATTTGGAAGTGATCACGGTGAATAGAGACAGAAGCATGTGCAAAAGAATTAAAGAGAGACAGAGAGAGAAGCTCGCGCACCAACCATCCAAACAAGCGAAACCAAAGAGAAACACTGAATAGCTTCATTCAAACGATATACCCAAATTCATAATACCACATTTTGGTTTTTTTCTATTCTCGATTTTGTATGTATGAATGTGTTTTGGTTGTTCACTATCTTCTTAGATGATCTGCATGCAAGAGATAGAGAGAGAAAGGGAGAGAATTATTTCAACAACTGGCAAGAGATTTATATTTCAAGGAAATCGAAAAATACACCGTATGTAAATCGCAAATCAAAAAGAAAAATAAGAAGAAACTAGTATTTATGGGAGTGAGGCTGAAGCTTTGAGTGGCACCACCACCACCACCAGTTTACCATGATATTCACAAAGCACACATGAGTATGTAAGAGACATTTTTTTCGTCTTTCTTTTTATGTTAAATTTTATTGTAACAATGGTGACGACGACGTGGACGACAACGATGACGAGAACGAATGTGTGATTCAAAGCACATCCACAATGGTTGCAAATAAATATGCGTGCCTATCATCCTACCTTTTGGTGCTGTGAGAGTCGATCTCTCACAACTCTTGTGAATCTTCCATGTAAGATGCCACAGTTGACAACTTCATTTACATTGTAACACGACATCTTATCTCGACAATGGAAACGAGGGCGTGAAAAAGTTCGTTTTTCTTTTATTTATTCACTTCGGTTTGTAGTTTTTGTTTGTGTATGGTATGTGTGAATGCAATAGCAGCAAAAAAGAATTTAAAATTGATACAAAAATTCACGTGTTCCCACTGTTTGCTGCCCGAATACCGGAAGGTTTGCAAACATGTCGGATACATTTTGTGGAAAATAATTTAGCGAAAAGAAAAAAAAATACTGTTCCACGTCTGCGACCGTGATTGTTTGTTTTGGTTTTTGCAAATGGAAAAAAGAGTGACAGTAAAATATGTATGTGTCTCTTTACGTGTGGTCGTGTGTGTGACGTAAAGCCGAAAAGCTTTTAAATCATCGCGAATGCTCTTCTGTAATACGATGGTGAAAATACCAGGTGCAAATGATTGCCCGGGAATGAAAGCGAGACTTCTATTCACAACTTATTGAAATGTAACACCACCATACAAAATATGCTGACTGTCTCGCTTTCATTCTCGGATATTCAAATTATCTTGCCATGTAAATGGCAATACAAACATGTTTAAGATACAAATTATCTGCGCTATTCACCCACGACCACATTTTTTTCACACTTCTACTGCATTTCATGTTCTTTCTTTTTGAAATGAGTTTGTTGCGACAATTATCCATTCACAAAATAAAATTCAAAATATTTCAAAAGTGACATTGGCATCCACTATATGGCTAGCTAATTATATATTTTTTTTGTTTATTTTTGTATTATGAGTAAGCCAATGAAAATAGATAGAAAGAAAATATTCCTTCGGAAAAGGATAGACGTCATTTGCGTTTGACATTGACATGTCACATCAGCTAATTAACAAAAAAAAATAGAGAAACGTCTACACAGAATCGTTTCTGAAAGACAAGTTCTGCGTATCTTTTTGCCTTATTCATAAGCGCAACCATTCTGTGATGAATTGTGGATGACATGACCTTTTCTGTCATATTGCTCCCAAAAGACTTGAGAGAATGCTTATCGTACGGTCTGGACGAACGAACTAGAAGACGAGAAAAAAATCACCGAATCGAAACAAAACATTGCATTTTAAATGTCAAGCCGTTTAGATAATGAGAAACAATAGAAAAGCCAATCGAGGAATAACAGAAGACTCAAAAAGAAACACAAATGAAAACAACAACAATAAAATATTTCAAATAGCAAACCTAAGTCACACGAAAAGTCATAAAAATAGAATTGACGGGAGCGAAGTGTTTGTGTACAGAAAAAAAAGAAAATGTGAAAATTTAATGATTCATTCAAAAGCGAAGAAAAATCATCTAATAAACTTCCAAGACTTTTTTTATTTATGCAATGCACTTAAGAATCATTAATTGATCGCCCACTATGAATAACTTTTTAATCTTGGAATTTTACTAAATTTGCCAAAGTAAAAGCTAAAAATGAACAAATCGTCTCGAATATTATCAAAACGATGCAACGAACTTGATTCATAAATCATTTATTGCGTTGTGCTAGTGATGTTTTTAATGGAACAAAACAAGCATATACGCACAGACGCATCTCATAATCGTCGACCGCTTGACAGAGATTCCAACTAACAATAATTATCTATTAATTGAATTGAATTTAATGAAGTAGAACCGATAAATAAAATACATCCATGCTCTACCCACTCTCTTGTAAGTCTCAATAAATTTTCGTATCGTTGCATCACCGAAGAGTGCAATGACTTTTTTTTAAAATGATGTCAAACTCATCACACCTTATTAATCTTGATAATTCGCATTAAATCGCTGAGATACAATTTGAATTGACTCTCTCATCTCTCCCTCTCAATAGACAAGTGTATGCTCGAATGACGCGCATTATAATAATTATATAATTTGGAGAAAACAGTGTTTTTGTGATATGAAAGAAATTGTCAATTTTTACAGCCAAACATGTCTGAAGAGAAAGAAATGGGTAAAGCGAGACCGAGTCATACCTAATCGGACTAAATTCGTTTACACTTCGATTCAACTGAATGCTTGCATTCTTCACTCAAATTGAAATTAAAACCAAAAGTAAACAACTTGTCTTCACTTTTTTCAAATGATTCAATACTTTGACTGACGATTCGGGTTCCTTTTATTTCATTTTCAAGCTCAACAACCTTTGATTCATTTATTATAAATTTTGTTTCAAGTATGAGTGTGAGAGGATTAATCGTACGCGTTGCCTTCATTATTTGACTCTTTTTTACCGTACAACGGTTACAGCCAAATGCGCATAATTGATAGCATACTCTTATAACAAGGGTCATCAAAATCATTTTATCGTCTCGCGGGCTCTGCTTTCTCGACTCGAAGATATTTTTGGGGGAAAAATCATAAATCAGTCGTAGTAATTAATCACAAAATTTTCAATGAATATCATGCTAATGGACTTATGAACTTGTGACACATCAATGATACAAAGATGGAGAAGAGAGAGAGAGAGATAGATAAAGAGACTTTAGCATAGAAACAATTGAAGAAAAGAAATTGAAAATTTCGGATAAAACTTCTTACAAATATTTCTCGCCATATAATTGGGTCGGAATGGTCTAAATGTAATGTAAAAGAATTCGCAAAGAAATATATACACAAATACCAAGTATTTGTATGCGCAAGAGACTAAATTTATTGAAATTAATTGAAAATTCAGTTTGTCACGCTCAAACGACACCCTTTCAAAAAGGGAAGAAAACTGCAGCTTAAGTGTAATTATAAATATGTACAAGTTTTACTATAGAAATTACTGAACACAAAACTTACTTGAAGAAGTACGTTCCATTTTCGTAGCCAAAAAATGGTACTGTGTATGTTAGCATCCAAATATTGGCACCGCCACAATCATAATACGGTTTCGACCATCGACCATCTTCATACTTAACTGAAAGTATTTCATCCGTTTCTCGTTCGGTGCTGTTCGAGTACAAATGAAATGCTAAAAACGGGATAGAGAAAAAGAAAAAGATGTGAACAATATATTCAATTTATAAGAAGTATGCTCAAAAAATCGAAACGGATTCAAGTGAAGTAAGTAATTGTTTGCAATTTTTTTTGGCAAAGACATAAGTGTTACGACTAGGGGTTAGATACATGTTCAAGATGAAGAATCTATCTAATTTAAGATTACACCGACTATGATTTCCAGTATCTAACCCCTATGTTTTTCGACAAAGATTTCAAAGGGGTTTAATGGCAAAAATTGATTATCCATTCGGATCATTAATTATGGGGTTGATTTTCCTACTGGGAAAACCCTAGCAAAATTGAAAGAATTATCCAATTTAGAGTGGGGTAATCGGGACCCTCAAAGGCTGGAACAATACGTATAGAGGAGAGTAGTGAGAAGAAGAATAAAGATTGTTTAGTAAATTTGGAAGGAGCCCGATTGCGATATCGATTCGTTTGGATAAATAAACAAGTAATCCAGGAGAGTGCTTGTCCTTAATGCGTAACAAATAGTCTACATATAACACGATGATCAAATGAACAAAGAAAAACTTGTTTATGAAAGTAAAATTAAAAAAAAAACAACAACAACAAAAGTTAAAAAAAGACAGTTGCAAATAAGCTATAATCAGACGAACAACTTGATGCTTCGTATATTTTAATATTCACTTTGATTCGAATTTAAGAACGCGTAAACGAAAGAATGGGTGCGTGGAAATGAAAATCATTTCCGACGAAAATTCAAGAGGATAACGACAATATACTGCGAAAGATACACCCAAAAGGAATAAAAAAAATGGTTACGTTGTAAAAAGTAAGCAAAGTGAGAGAGAGAGCGCCAACGCTAATAGATATTTGAAAAAGCGTCACACAAAAAGACATTGAAAAGACATTCACAATTGACACAAATACCAAAAGATAAAAGATTGAATAAAAAGCGTATGTAATTGCTCTTGTATCGGATTATATTCTTAAAATTGAAATAATAACCAACGAATTCAAAACTCGCATTGTATTGAATGCAATTGAAATAGATGGTTTTACGAATATACAGGAAAAATGTGAACGGTGTACGCTGTACGGGATGAAGGGTGAGCGGACCGGATAATAAATGTTTGTGTTGTAAGCAGTGGCCAATGGATAAATGAATGCAAGTTATAAGATAAGAATTAAATTGAAGCGCTCATTGTCCTCTCTCACTCTCTCTCTCTTTATTTCCATCTCTATCTGTGTGCTGTATGTATGTATATATTTACTGCATTTTTCTTATCCGAAATAGATTAAAACCGTTTCTTTGCCAAATAAATTTATTAAATTTTAATGTGGCACATAGAAAGCACTGAGTGTATCATAGTGTTGAGCTATATTATATCGAGGACAGAGATAAATGTTAGCATATTCAATTCCCATCGCGCGCTCTCAAAGCATTCCAAATGGGTTGCATTAAAAAAGTAAGAGAATGCGAATGGTGACAGAAACAGACAGTGCAAAATATAATAATAAAGTTTGTGCACTCAATCTAACATTTACATTATACACATCGAAATATTCATTTCAAAATCAAATTAAAATCTTCAATTTGCAAAATATCTAATTCGGTTAAACAGTAGCGCAATTTCAGCATCTTTCTCAGCTTCTTTTAGTGTTATTGTTTTTCATCCGTGTTCGTCATTCTTCTTTTTTTTTCTTGCATCTCTGTTATTCCATTTTTATCAGTATTTAACATTTGGCAAAGTGAATGAGAATTGCGAACGATTTCAGTGATTAAAAATTCAATGGAAAATAACAAGTTGTGTGTAAGCAGTATGCATTCAACTGTGATTAGAGTGTCTATGTTCTCGGCAAATGAGAGTAGAATTTTGAGCAACCACAACAACAATGTTCAAACAAAAATTGAAATACAGCTCTGTGACACGGAAATTGTTTAAACGAGATGACTGTATTTACCACATTCGACCTTGGTTTGATTGTAGTCAAGAGGACAACAACAACAACAATAAAAAAAATAAAATGGATTGCTTTTACTCTCCCGGTCTTTCCGAAACAATGAATAATTGGCGTATTGTGTGAATACGGAAAAAGGTTCAACATACAAAAAAAGCGATTAGTCTGCTCAATTATTTTCCAAGAGCGTACTTTGAACTTTGAACAAAACGGTGTGTTATACGATGCGGGGAAATATACAAAAAGCGACCAACTTTTATTTCAAGGCAGAGATAGGAACTTTTTCTATACATGATTTAACCACTGAATTACAAAATCGGATGTATCACCGAGTTAGACTACTTCTCTTTTTTTTCGATTGTTGTACAAATTCAATCTCAATATTCATGCATATTTTATTGTCTGCGATTAACTGTTGACCCTGTTAAATCAAATCTTTGAAAACTGACGACAACATAACGTTTATACGAGATATGCCCAAATAATTTTAGTAGAAATATTTGTTTTATTTTTTCTTAATGTGTTTGTATGATTTCGTCGATTATATATTAAGTAGATACCCAGGGAAAGTAATCTATTTGAAATAGGTTTAACTGTGCAATTCCATGTTGATTTAAGGCTGAAATTAAACAAATATTTCCTTCAACAAATTGTGGTGGTTCATTGAAAATGTTTGACATTTTATGCTTAAGCTAACAACGACCATCTTGTGAGAAAATTCACTTGAAAATTGTAACGGAAATTGTAAATGATGCTATCAATAACTAAACAAATTTCACCTCTTACAGTATCATTCACGCACAAGCGATGTTCAACATCTCGGTTTAAATTTATCAGTCAAAATAGAACGCTCTATCATCGTGACTTCCATATTGTTGCCATTGAATTTGGAAATTTGAAACATAATTACACGTTTCAATTGACATAAATGAGGGTATTTTCTATAATGATCAACCGAAACTCAAAACGAAATGATTTAAGACATGCTGAAAGCAAAAGTGACAGACAGATAGGGAGACAGACAAAGAGAGGAGTGAGAATGCAAACGAGAAAGCGATAGAAAAGAGTTTGAAAGGGGCACAAATGAAGCACGGCATCCGCATAAACAAATGACAGCTATTAAGGAATCAAACACACGACAACATTCAAGTGTAATGAGGTAGAATATACAGAGCAACATTGAATGAAAACTAACGGCATTCAAATGGATAAATGTTTTTTTTACCATTTTTGTTAGATGAAATATATTCGCTGTGTGTTTCTAAGCCCATTACTTTAAATTCGCCCCATTAAGTTTTCATTTCATTCATTATCGTACTTGTTTCATAATTTACTCTCGTTCTATTGAATTCAACAAAAGCCCATTTGGCTCTCTACCGATGTCTCACACTTTCTCCTTTGCTCAGTGTAATTGGAAAATGGAATTCAAAACTAAGGCATGGCAGAAATGAGTATAATATTGATCATTTGATTCATATACATCTGTTTTACTTGTTCTTGAATCTTTAATCTATTCCCAAAAGCTTCATCCGCTTATATTTTAAATATTCTGGTTGTGATTTGATATTTCAATTTAAGCGAAATAACGGAACCGATCGAATCATCTCTTTCTCCTCATCAATTAGATATTTGATTTGAATAACAGTGACAAAATCATATCAGCTTTCAATTTTCAATTTCAATTCAATGGTTCAATCAATTTGGTCGATTGGGTTTTACAAAATATGCACATACACAATATACATGCTTGCATAAATGTGTCCTTTTGAATAATGAAGACGATTTTCAGTGGAGAAGTTAAATGACTTGGGATTCTTCTCCAAAATCATATTATATTTGGATGTGTAAATGAAATACAGTTAGAAATGTGATCGCATTAAGATTTTCATATACGCCCAAAGGACATAATGGTCAAAGAAAGTTACATCACAATCTCATTTCGAATAATTTAACATAGTATTGCAAGAGAGAATTCGTGATGAATTATTCGAAAAGAGAATTGACCGAATTTGAAATGGAATTTTAGAAAATACGACATTTGGATCTAGCAAGTAGTCGGCAGGAAAGCATCATTATTTCAATCAGCTCAAAAATACATACGGCACGGTACATATATAATGGCAAAACCATGGACCAAAAAAAGAAAAATTCCATGAAATATTCGCATCGTCGACACAATGATAATGATATAATACATGAAAATAAAAAAATATTGATATAATACCAAAATATTTGTACAATACATATAATTCTTCGAATTTCCATCAATGTGTTTGTGGGCTTGCACACCTTTTTGCACAACACTGTGTGTCGAATAGCAAATGAACTATTTCAGCTGAGAACCATCTACGGTTGGTTTTTGTTACATTTTTACCATACAGTTTTTTTTTCTCTCTCGTTTCATTCTTAAACTTGCCTCTTTATGGCATTCACTTCGGTAATATTATTCTTCAGAATGATTGTCTGTGCTTTTTTTCCCACTGTGTTTGTGTGTGTATTTCGTCGTCGTCATCATCATAATCATTGAGGATATTCGTTCGTTTAATGGCACTTTTCTTGCTATTTCATCAATATACATACACATGATGCTATAATGGTTTTTGTTATTTACCATCCAAGGGATCGTCATATTCAGTGATGAAGAAGAGAGGGAAAAGAATATCCATGCACAAACTAGCACAGCAGATTGATATAATATACAATATTACAATAACAATGATTTGGTAAAGTTAATGACATGCCAATACCGTCACAGGTTTCCACTAACCTAGACAAATGGTTCAAATTCATGCGAATGACATTTATAATTTTTGTTATTGCTTATCATCGAATTCGATGGAGTCGAATGTATTCATGCCTGTTGGTGATTGTGCGGTTCATTGTTGTCCATGTGTGAACCCAAATGGATAAGTAAACAATAATATGAATGGGTAAGAATAATCATGACCTCCAAACATTCTTTAAAAAAATACTGATACAAGACGATGAATTAAAATAAATGAGATACTAACTCGCGTTTAAAATAAATCTGAAAGATATTGAAAA